GAGAGAGTGTAGAAATAGCTAATAGTATAGCAAATAGTTTTGCTTTATATAAAGAGGACTAGTTAGAAATTTGAGCAAAGAAGCTATGAGTAATTTTGTCATTATCAACTTGAACCCAGCTAATACCTATTAAACATTAGTTAGTGCTAAGTTGTTTGACAGAACAATTAGTATAGAAAGTAAAATATTATTAGAATAAGTTAGATAATGAGATTATAGTAAGTTTTGCAGAGGCATTACTATTATAAAAGATAGTGAGAATAGGAGAGTCAGTTATATTAATATTAATAGTAGAAAGTGAAGATAAAGTTTGTATTTAGTTAAAGAACTACTAGTATTATTATAAGTATTAAAGTTTTTAAGAAGAATAAAGTGCAGGTTTTGTTGTTTAGCTTGTAAGATTTAGTTAATAATAAGATTTTATTTTGAAGAACTAATAGAAGAAAGATAAATAAATATAATATATAATTTGATATTGCTCTTGAAAAAAAAATCTAATGCAAAAACATTTTCTAGATATGTATAACAACTATATATATAAGGTTTTAGATAATTTTGAATTATAAAAATAGTTTTAAAAATAGTTTTTTTAATAAAGTTTTTAGAGTTGGACCAATAGTAGATATAGAGATTGTTGTTACAAAAAGTGTGTTTGATTTTAGAAAATTTTGGTTTTGGTTAGAAAGGCAATAGAAATATCATAGTTAATATAATAATAATCTTGCTATATTTATCTTTTAGAAACTATATTGAAGTTTTAATATTATAAGTTGCTATAATAAGATTAAAGTAGTTAAAAGGAAAAGAACTCTTTCCTGTAGATCCCAAAATTATAAATAAACAAAACAAAACAACAGAATTTTACAACAAATACAGAGTAAAAATCTAAATAACTGCTCTTTAGTGCCTAAAATACTACATACTACAACTCAATAATAGCTCTAAGGCTGAAAAAAGACAAAGATATTCTTCTTACCACTCCTGAAGCTTTCGAACTTTTTTTATTCCTGCTACTACATCCAATACACCTCTGATGGATCTCTCTGGAACTTCAGACAAACAAAACAACAGCAATATAACAACCAATATACCTGATAACTCTCCGCCGCTAAAGAAGAAAAAAACTATAGAAAATAAAAGCAACAACACCAACTCAAACATCTATCCTCGGCCTTTAGTAGTTAAT